CTGCTTCTCCTCGGGCCAGGACTCGCGCCAGCTGGCAAGGGCCGCGTCGCAGTCGTAGAAGTTGGAGAGGTCGTACTCGGACTTGGGCCAGCAGGTGGGCGGTGGAGGGGGGCGGAAAGAAGGGGGGAGGGGTCGAGAAGGGCGGCGAGGACGACGAGAGGGGGGTACTCCAGCTTGCGCAGGGAGGGGCAGGAAGTCTAGAGGAGAGGGCATTCAGAGGGAGAGGGCCCGAGTGATGCCAAGTGATCGGCGGACCTCGAGGCCATGACAATACTGCTGAAGCGAGGACATTCAAGACACAGGGATGTCAAACATAAAAAGCAAAGGAGGGAGGAAGAGGAGTCGGCTAGAGAAGCAAGTGGCGGGGTGGGTCATGGGAAGAGGGGGCAATGGATGGAACTGGGAGCGTCCACGAAGCTGGGGCCGCCTGATGGGTGGGACGTGGGACAAGAAATACTGCGCTGAACCTGCCCTGGTTTATGTGATTGAGGGTGGGCTCGTCGGTTGAGGACTGTATCGCACCTGCGAGGGTTTTCGCGAATCGGGCTCAGCCGCCTCCACGGCGGCAGGGACGGTGGAACCTCTTCTGGGCTTCATACATAGCTCGGAGGCGGCATCAGATATCAATACCATTTTCATAATACGGAGTGAACTGGCCTTCCGTATGAAACTTCGAAGAAAAATCAGGAAGGCTCCAAGGCGACCTGAAAAAGGTGGTGTCCCAGGTGAACTGCATCAAATGCATTAAAATGCTCTGGTGGCGTTTTCAAAGTTCTGCCCCGCTTGACGGTTATTGTCAGACCAAAGCCAAAAGAACATCCCTCAAGAACATGAGATCCTCCGCCGGCCAAAACACACACAGAACATCCCAGGGTACCCTCCCCAGGATGCACAAGAATATTAAACAACGAAGAGCATCAGGGTACACTCCCCGAACCGACCTCGATCTTATACATCACCCCGGCTATATGATGAGATCAAAGGGCTTGATCATGTATCCCCGAGGCGGTTGCGGTCCATCGCGACATTGAGTCTGCGAGATGTGTGAACCATTGCGAGACCTGCTGGGAGGAGCTCCGGAGCACCAAGCAAATCGTGCACACGAGGGAGGTGAAAACGAGACGAAGAGGGAGGGCGAAGAGAGGAAAAGGGGCGAGGACGACTAAGCGAACGCGAGGGGACGACGAAGGTGGACGAGGAGGAGAGGACGAGGATGAGGGGGGCCAATGATGCGAAGGGAGAGAGACGAGGGAAGGCTTATGCAGAAGAGGTTCGCACAGAACGCTCACGCAGAAGCTCGCACAAGAGTGCGTGGCTCTCCCAGGAATGTGGCAGTCCAAGTGATGAAGGGTGCCATGGAAGATTGTGAACCGTGGAGCGGTGCTGATAGCTAACAACGACGAAGGCGATGACGACCGATTCAGGAGTGGAAAACAACTAGTGGTATAATCATGTACGATATGCGAGTGGACACATGGAAAGTCTTTATTTCGGAACCGACGCGCTGATCAAACCCTGCTGGGCTGAACAATTTTGTGCCGATGCGTTCGCCGTACAAAGCGGGAACGTGATGATGGACCTGCTTTCCACCACCACCACCATAAGTTGGAGGGGGCAAGGAGGTGGAGGACGAGGAGGAGGAGGAGGAAGAGGAGGAGGAGGAAGAGGACCCCCTCCCCCTCCAACTTATAGTGGTGGTGGTGGAAAACAGGCCAATCACGTGGGGTGCATAACTTCCTGGGAGGTGGGCGAAGGAGCGGCCGTCTGAGAAGGCAAAGGGGGCATTTCAGCAGGGACCGACCCCCCCAGACCGACCGCCGCCCTCTTAGAAGAGGCCAGGCCGCTCCCCGACGAACACTCCTGGACGAACTCGGCCTTCGACCATCGGTCGTCGTCGTCCTCCTCCTGATGGGCCTGTTTCCACCACCACCACCATAAGTTGGAGGGGAAGGGGGGGCCTCCTCCTCCTCCGCCTCCTCCTCCTCCTCCTCCTCTTCGTCCTCCTCCTTCCCCCAACTTATGGTGGTGGTGGAAAACAGGCCCATCACCTCCTCCGCCGCCCTCCTCCTGCCTCCTCCCTCCTCCGCCTGGTCGTGTCCTCCTCCTCCTCCTCCTCCTCCTCCTCCTCCTCCTCCTCCTCCTCCCCTCCCCCTCCTCCTCCTCCTCCTCCTCCTCCTCCTCCTCCTCCTCCTCCTCCTCCTCTGGAGCCTCTGGAGCCTCTGCGGACACAATCCCTCAATGAAAGACTGGCCCGTGGGGGGATAATTAGTGGACTGGGAAGGGGCGCCCCACCAACACCTTGGATGTGGGGTCAATGCCTTGGCGCATGTACTTCAAGGCCCCTATCATCCCAGTCCCTGCAACACGATGGCAGCGCGCGGCCAGGTCCTTGACCTGCCCCCGCGCGCGGCAACCGCACTGCATGCAGAAATACAAGTCCGAGCCTAGCACCCACGTGCGGTGCGACTCGTGCGCCCGCGCAAGCACCCTCGGTTTGCCAGGGCACTCATTCTGGATGACCGCACTCCGTCGAGCAGCGTTCACCCCGCAAACTCTGCAACCCCACCTGCCATCAGCGTTGCGCAGCAGGTGGCCTCGATCCCCCGTGGTGAGTTTTAGCACGCACACGGGTTCATCAACTAAAATCTGGTTCGGCCTGGGGACCTTTATGGCCCTCGGGACCTTGTCCACATCTGGAAATCCTATTGTACTCAGGCGCCTCAAGGAGTCCGCCAGGAGCCTCGTGAATTGCCTACCGAAAACCTTGGCCGCCTGGATCCTTTGATCCAAATGGGGGGCTGCTGGATGCTCTAGAGCCCCCCGCCTCGAATACTTGTCGGCCTGCCAGTTCCCAGAGTACCAGCAGTCCGAAAAGCTGTGATTCCTGAGCCACGCTCTGCTTTTGTGAGACGGCATCCACTGCAAATTCACATTATCCTCCCCCACGTCGTTCAATTTCCAGAATATTAGACTCCAGACTTCCCAGTACGGTTCCGAAGCTCTACACATCTTCTCGGGGCCCTTCTGGAGACCTATCAGGAGGTTCTTGTGGTCCGTGATAATGGTCGCCCTGGGTCCCATGAGACATAATGCCATGTAGAACGCGTAGTGCTCTGCCATGCCCGCGCTCTGCACAGGCCCTGGCACTGGCCCGTAGGCCACCGATGAGACTTGCTCGCTCCCGTGCTGGAGAGATACGACCGCCCATCCTGCCCTCGTCATCCACTCCACATTTGGGTTGACCCCCGAGCCGTCTGTAAAGATCTCTTCGCTGAGGTAGCCGCATCCTAGGAGACCGCGCTGAGGGCATTCGTGCTCTTGCAAGGGCGGGGGCATGGCGTCTCTCATACTGTCCATGACCCCGAAGTCAACTAGGCAGTTGTCTGGGAACTCCCGACCGACCGACACGACATCTTCATAACCTTGATCTCGACGCCATGCCTCTAAGCCGTCGCATCCGTAAAGTCTGTGAGATATCGAGCCTGACGGGTGTCCGCACCACTTGCAGGCCGACGACAAGGAATAACGCTCTTCGTAGAGCTTGGACTGCGTCCACAGCCCACCTGACATGTGTATTGAAACAAGATCTGCAGGGACAGGATGACCTTTGGCCCGAAGAACTTGCAGCTCTGCCTTGATCGGGTCCAACAAGGGGGTCCTATTCCAGCTCATGTGTCTGGCCGCCTGCAGCTCCTGGAGCCGTTTGAGGCCCCTGTGGATAAGTGCCTTGAGGGTCTTGATGCTAACCTTCTCGAGGTCCACCACGAGCCCCTGAGGATCCACCCAAAGCTTGAAAGACCTGATTTGCCACCCAAGACGACGCAAAGTCTGAACCACAGCTCCCCCAGCGCCACACACAGTAGCCCATCCCAGACTGATCTTGGACACTCCAGCCTCGAAAATAGTCTGCATAACGCCCTGAGGAGCCCAATCTCCTCCTCCTCCTCCTCCTCCCCCTCCTCCTCCTCCTCCTCCTCACTCAAGCAACTTGGGCTCAGACCATTTTGGCAAGAGCCCGCCTTCTGTGCCTGCGCGCGGTGCTTGGGGCACTTCACCCACGCTCTCCAGGAGAGCCGCTGGTGACGACTAAAACAGAAGGTGCTCACACATGATGTCTCGTCCTTGATGTCAGGCTCGGGAAATTTGTTTTTGGCGCCCACGCTGTTCACTGGAGCGACGCACTTGAGGGGCTCAGATCGGGTCGCGTCCACTTTCCGTCTGGCCGTCCTCCCGTTCTTCCTTGTCCCGCACGTGTTTTTCAAGCTCCCACAGGCTGGGCGGGCACTGGTTTCGTCATCTACATTTCAGCCATCCCTCAGGGCCGCACGGAGGGGGTATTCTCTTTCGCTGGCCTCGGGCGTTTGCTGGTTGCAATGGCGCTCAGTTCCCATCATCTACAATGCTGCTATCTCCCAATGCCGCGTGGGGAGGGTACGGGCGGCGGCCTATTTGTTCAGCGTTGCTGGGACTGGGCCTCTTACTGTTATCTTTTTCACGCGGTGCTGCGAATGCTGGTCAATTATTGCAAGGGCTGGAGGCTTTTTCCTTGAATGCAATGAGGCTGTTTTCGGTGTGAACGATCCGTCAGGGTTGCCCGATGACCAGTTCACTGTAGTGGGCCGTATCGAGTTTGCTTCGGTTCAGCTTATTTGTATCAAGGTGGCTTTTGGCATTCTTTCAACTTCCTCTGTATTTGTCTGGTGTTGAAGGGGTGAACTGACATTCTATGTTTGGGAGGAACCCATCCGCGGGCTTATGGTTCCACGGGCTTCTCTGCCAGCTTTTCAGAAGAAGTGCGTCCTCTTCCTGTCCGTCGTGCTCTTCGACAAGTCCAGGGGGGGCGTCTGTTTCGATCTTCGCTTCGCGACTGTTCTCACTCACTCACTCACTCACTCCTCCTCCTCCTCCTCCTCCTCCTCCTCCTCCTCCTCCTCCTCCTCCCACGAGGCGGCCCACGGCGGCCGCGGGACCGAAAACACCAACCCAACTGGCAGCGAGACCGAGACCGACCGAACCCGACAGGCCGCAGGCAGCCAACACGAGGCACGCAGGCGCGACGACGACGACGCGGCCAGCGACCGGCCCGGACCGGACGGGGACCGAAGGCAACCGACAGCCTCCGCAGCAGCCGCCCAGAGGAGCACCGAGACGCGGCCGCCGTCGGGAGGCCGAATGCGGGACGACGATGAATAAAGAAAGGAAGAGAACGTTTAAAAAAGCAGTTTTCTGCTATTTCTGCCATTTTCTGACTGGAGGAGAACGATTAAAGAAATAGTTTTCCAGCCCGCGGCCGGCTGTTTCTAATCGTCATCCCAGGCGCCGCCGCGTGAACACGACCCCCCGTCACTTATTAATCGTCATCCTCCATTACCCGGCGCTGCCCGTCCTCCCTTCCGCCTCGTCCTCGCCCTCGGGGAGGGGGCGCAGGGGGGCGCCTCGGTGCCCTCGGTGGCCTCGCCCAGCAGCGTCTCCCGTTCGCCTCGCAGGGGAGGCGCGGGGGGAGGCGCGGGGGGAGGGGGGAGCGGGAGCCGAAGCGGGGGACAGGAGGAAGGGGCTGGGGGAGGACGGGGGGAGGGTCAGGGAAGGGGGAGAGGAGGGCAGGAGGAGGGAGAATGGGGAGGAGAGAGGGAGGGAGAATGGGGAGGAGGGCAGGAGGAGGGAGAATGGGGAGGAGAGAGGGGGGGAGAGGCGCCGGGCCCAGTGGCGCGCACCCTGAAAAATGAGATGCAAGAGTGCGAGTGCAGAAGTTTGCCTCGCATACGAGACCGATGTTGCATCACAGCAGCAATTCGGCCCCTGACTTTCGTCCTGTGTTCGATTTAGTGAAGTGATGAATTTCGGGGTCCTTACGTGGGGAAAAACATCACTTCACTAATCTGAGGCCCCTGGGCCTCAATGAGCCCTGGGGCCCAAAATTTGTGAAGTAATGGTTTTCGGGCCTCGGATCGCAATTCACGCGCTCGTCGTTCTCGCAGTCACGGTCGTAGTAACAGCCGTAATAGTAACGCCGTGCTCGTACTGGTCGTACTGGTTGTTGACGGAATACCACCACAGTTGTAGTAGTAGTAGTAGTAGTAGTAGTAGTAGTAGTCGTAGTAGTAGTAGTAGTAGTCGTCGTAGTAGTCGTCGTCGTAGTAGTAGTAGTAGTGGTAGTAGTAGTAGTAGTAGTAGTAGTAGTAGTAGTAGTAGTAGTCGTAGTGGTAGTAGTAGTAGTAGTAGTAGTAGTAGTAGTAGTAGTAGTAGTAGTAGTAGTAGTAGTAGTCGTAGTAGTCGTAGTAGTCGTAGTAGTAGTAGTCGTAGTAGTCGTAGTAGTAGTAGTAGTAGTAGTAGTAGTAGTAGTAGTAGTAGTAGTAGTAGTAGTAGTAGTAGTAGTCGTAGTAGTAGTAGTAGTAGTAGTAGTAGTAAGTAGTAGTAGTAGTAGTAGTAGTAGTAGTAGTACTAGTAGTCTACTACTACTAACTACTACGACTACTACTACTACTACTACTACTACTACTACTACTACTACTACTACTACTACTACTACTACTACTACTACTACTACTACTACTACTACTACTACTACTACTACTACTACTACTACTACTACTACTACTACTACTACTACTACTACTACTACTACTACTACTACTACTACTACTACTACTACTACTACTACTACTACTACTACTACTACTACTACTACTACTACTACTACTACTACTACTACTACTACTACTACTACTACTACTACTACTACTACTACTACTACTACTACTACTACTACTACTACTACTACTACTACTACTACTCAATGTGGTTTTCTGCTGTTCGTGACGGTGCTGGGCCTGGCGGCGTCGCTCGAAACTGCCGGAAGGCATCCCGCCTTCGTGCGCATCCGACCACAAACAACGTTGAAACTGAAGCTTTCTTGTTCTCCTTTGCCAACTGGTCGTACGAAACACAAGTGCGCGATTCTTCATTTTCGGCGATGACGGGCGCCATGGGTTGGGGAGGCGGGGGGGTATGACGTAACGCCCCCCCCCCCCGCCGTGTGGCTCCGGTACCACAGCCGCGCCCGCGCGCACGACGACTATGAGCGACGAGCGACGAACGACGAGCGACGACGACGACGACGACGACGACGCGAGCAGCATGTAGGTGGCGATCTGCCCCACAATGCCTGTGTACACCACAGTGCCCGCGTGCAGCACAGCCCTGGTGTACAACACAGCGCCTGCGTACACCGCAACATCCGTGTGCAACGCAGCGACCGTGTACACCACAATGCTTGCGTACACCACAGCGCCGGTGTACACCACAACGAATGTGTACACCGCAGCAGCCATGTGCAACACAGCGTTTGTCTACAAGCTTACGTGCACCGCAGCGTCTGTGCACACCACAACGCCTGTCTACACCGCAGCATCCGCGTGCAACGCAGCGCTGGCGTACACCAGGGCGCCTGCGTGCACAGGACAAGTAGAAGGAACATGTGGGTGAGGATCTGCTGCGGACAGCTAAACGCAACGGAAGTGCTGATTATAGAATGCGACGTTCTTCCCGCATTCCTCCTCCACCTCCGCATCTTCCTCCCCTTCCTCCTCCTCGTCCTCCTCCTCCGCCTCCTCGTCCTCCTCCCCCTCCTCCCCCAACCTTGCCTCCTGTCGTGCGGGTCGGCGCTACAGCGTACGTGCGCATCTCAGCGCGCATCGCAGAGTAGTCGATTGAATCAGTCCACTTGGTTCTCGGACGGCCAGTTTAGCTGGAGCCTCCTGGACGCAGATGGGATGAGTTAGGATGATGCGGGCGGACTCCGGAGGACTCGTAGATTCCAACGGCGTTCCTTTTCCCATAAGGATTCATTTCCATATCGTATCTAACAAATTTTCCGTTTGAATCGATAAGCGCTCCATTTTGTCGTAAAGAGTTGTTGTGCATCCTTGTTGCACACGGGTGCTGCGGTGCACACAAGCGCCGTGGTGTACACAGGCGCTGTAGTGCACGCAGGCATTGTGGTGTACACTGGCGCTGTGTTGCCCACGGCTGTTGCGGTGCACGCAAGCGCTGTGGTGTACACGAGCGCTGTGGTGCCAGCTGGCACTGTGGCACACACTGGCGCTCTGTTGCACGCGGTTGCGGTGGTGTACGTACGCGGCGTGGTGCACTCAGGAGCTGTGGTGCACGCAGGCACTGTGGTGTACACAAGCGTTGTGGTGCAGATCGCCACCGACATGCTGCTGCGACCCGTCTTCGGTCATTCCAATGCATTCCCAGACGCCGCCGGCGCGAAACGTGACGTCGGATGATTGCTGTCATCGGCCCGGGATTAAAAAAAAACAACAACAAAAAACAACACAGGCTCCAACTGCGTCCGCGCGCACGACGACGATGAGCGACGAGCGACGAGCGACGAGCGACGACGACGACGACGAAGACGACGACGACGGCGGCGACGACGACGACGACGACGACGACGACGACGACGACGACTGCGGACCGGACTGCTATGCGGACACCTATGCGGATCACGATGCGCACGACGGCAGTGCCCGGTACGCCCCGGGGGGGGGAGCGTCACGTCGTAGGGGGGGGCCAGGGGCCACGATGCCCGTCATGCCCCAAACAATAAAGAAGCACGCACCAGTAGGACAACTGTCACTTGCAGTGGCGTTGTTTCTGGTTTGCTGCTGCTCGTAATGCTGCTAGGTCTGGCGGCGTCACTGGAAACTACTGGAAGGCATTCAGCCCTCGGGCGCATCCGACAGCGAGCAGCGCTGAAGCAAAGGCTTCAGCGCCCTCTTCCCTCTCCTACTCGTGCTGGTCGCAGTGGAGCAGTCCTGGGTGTGGTTGTTTGTTGTCCATCGATGAGCAGTGCCCCGCACTTCTCACTCGGTGCCGTCTGCGACTGCCGGCGAAGAACGCCGGAAACGAGGCACCTCGCATTGCTCGGTGGCGGCCACGAGGGGGGCGTCCAAGAGGGGGGGGGGGGGGGCGCAGATCAAGGCCGGCGGCACGTGCGCGGCCCAGGGGGGGGGGGCAGAGACGTGATGAAAAAGAGGAGGCGCCATGAGATCTGGGCGAACCTCATGGTCCACGCCGTGATATCCCCCCCCCTGGTCGTCGCCCCCCTCTCTTTGCCGCCCCAGCAGTACCAGTTGTGCTACAGTCAAAAACCCGAGTAAGGACGCGCGGTAAGGACGCAAGACCCTTGGAAGCCGAAGTTGGGACTTCTGGGGCGGCGGACGACGAAAACCCCAAGGGCGCCAGAGCAAGGAAGAGCAGGGACGCCAGGGCACCCTGCGCAAAGTCGGCGCGTCCTTCTTCGGGTTTTTGACTGTACACCCTGCGAAATGCTTTAGAAATCATGGGTTCAGAAACTCATAGTCTCAGAAATTGCATAGAAACCCAGCAGGTCTATTCAAATCTTGGAATTCGCATTGAAACATTAAGAATAATCGAGACTCTGGCCGAAAACTTGGGTTTTCTTAAGCATCGCCTAGGGTGGAGGAGGGAGGGAGGAGGGAGGAGGGAGGAGGGAGGAGGGAGGAGGGAGGAGGCAGGAGGGTACCCTGAGCAAAGGCGCGCGTCCTTCTTAGGGCTTTTGACTGTAATACCTCTCCTGGCCTGCCTGCTCGCCGCGCCGCCGGGGCCCGCCGCCGCCGCCAGAGAGGGCAACCCGGGCGGCACGCGGGGCGGCGGAGCGCGCGCGGCCCCGCCGCGGCCGCGGCAGGCCCGGAACCTGCCGTCGCCGCGGCAGGCCCCATTCCCCGTGCATTTTGTCGGTGTCGTGCGTGTTTGTTTTTGTCCTCGAGGGTCCAGGATAGTCCTCGTGGTTCCTCGCCGAGAAAAAATGGATGGTCCTCGTGGTCTCTCGCCGAGGAAAAGTGCACACGTCCAAGCGATGCCAAGGGGAAGCATGTTTTTCGGCTTCGTGCGTGTTTTTTTTCCCTCGAGGGTCCAGGATGATGGCCCTCGTGGCTTCTCGCCGGGGAAAAAAGCGTCGCTCGGACGGCCATTCCCCGTGCGTGCTTGTCTGGCTTCGTGCGCGTTTTTTTTTCCCTCGAGGGTCCAGGATGATGGTCCTCGTGGCTTCTCGCCAGGGAAAAGCGCGTCGCTCGGACGGCCATCTCCCGTGCGTTTGTTTGGTTTCGTGCGCGTGTTTTTTTGGTCCTCGAGGGTCCAGGAGATGGCCCTCGTGGTCTCTCGCCGAGGGAAAAGTGCGCCGCTCGGACGGCCATTTCCCGTGCGTTTGTCGGTGTCGTGCGTGTGCTTTTGTTCTTCCTCGAGGGTCCAGGAGATGGCCCTCGTGGTCTCTCGCCGGGGAGAAGTGCGTCGCTCGGACGCCCATTTCCCGTGCAGCTTGTTTGGTTTCGTGCGTGTTTTTTGTTTGTTCCTCGAGGGTCCATGATGTAGGGGGCCACATGCGAACACTGCCCCTACCCCCCTCAGAACTCGTGGGGGGTAGGGGCAGGGTTCGCATGTGGCCCCCTAGGAGGGTCCTCGTGGTCTCTCGCCGAGGAACAAGTGCACGCGTCCAAAAGCGATGCCAAGGGGAAGCACCTGTGCGGCCGGGGCCGAGGCGCCCGCCCGGGCGAAAGAGCGCCGAGGGGGAGCGGGGCGGAGCCTCAACGGTGTGTCCTTCGTTCTCGCTGTGCTTTCGGTTTCCCTCGTTTCGCCTTCCCTCGTTTCGTCCTCCATCCTCGTTTCCATCCGTCCGTCGTTCTCGCTGTGTTTTCGCTTTCACTCGTTTCGGCCTCCAGCCACCTTTTGAACGCCAGGCGACATCGACACGAAAAAACGGCACACGAGATGGCCAAAACGCCGTGCAGGTCCACCCCCTTCGGGGGGGAGCGCGCGCTGCGTTCTTCTTCAAGGGCACCACCCCCGCCGCGGAACGAGCAGAACGCCATGCGGTCCCGCGTGCGAGCTCTGCACCTGTGCCTTCCCCTCGCTTCTCCTGTTGTTGTTGCAAGGCTCCCCTCTTTCGGGGAGACGTAAGACCCGGGTACGGGGGACTCGGAAATCCCCGACGAGGTCGTCAAAAAAATGACGAGGCCGAGCCTGCATTTTGACGAGGCCTCCCGCTGCAGACATCCCACAAAACGCCTCCTCGTCAAAATCCGAGTCGCGGTCGTCAAAAAACGATGGCGAACCCGAGTCCCGGCAAACCCGGGTGTTACGCTCCCCCGATTTTGTCGCAGGCACCGCGTGCTCTGGGAACCCACGTCATCAACGCGTGCTCGGAGTGAACACATCCTCCTGCCGGCACCGCAATTCCAACTGCCCCACCTTCCACTGCTCTCGTCTTGCCTGCTGTTCCTATTGCGCCCTGGCGCGCGGGAGAACTTCTTGAATTCAACTCACTCCTATTGCGACTCACGCGCACCTTCCGAGAAAATCCTTCTCTTGCCCGCGACACAAAGCCAGTGCGCGCGACAAGTCCAGGTGCGGGGGGAGACATGGGGGAGGAGCGGAGGAAAAGGGGCAGGACGAGGGGAACGGAAGAAACACAAGGGAGGACCAGGGGGAGGACGAGGGGGAAGATTGACCAGCACGAAGAGGGAGGAAGGGGGAGAGGGGAATGGGGGACGAAAGGCGGAGGACAGGTACAATGGGGGAGACAGCGAGAAGAACAAGGGGGGAGGAGGTGGAGAAGGGCGAGGACTGCACGAACCACAAAGAATACCCACACCTAGAACTCCTCCAACCGTCCAACAGTATCCCTCATCGCGCTTGTTCCAGGCTGTGTGGTTTTGTAGTGTGTCCTTCACATGATGCTGGTCTCCGGCGTTGCTGAAGCATGCCAGCACAACGTAGGACCAGGCGTCTGCACGGGGTGTGTACAAACGCCTTCCCCCCTCCCCCGGCGAGGGCGCAACCGAACGCAGACGACCTCGGAAGCACAATCGCCCACAGCAAAAAACTGCCAGAATACTGCGCGACCAGTCGGGGTACGCCTACTCTGGGCTTCTCAATCAACTCGGGGGGATACCCCCCCCCGACGGGGGTCCACCTCGCCTCGTCGTCGCGCCGCGACGGGGTCGCAGCGCCTTCGGCGCGCGGTGGCTGCCCGCGACGGGGCTCGATGTGGGGCTGTCGGCGGAGGCGACGCCCCCCCCGACGCAGATAAAGAAACGCGGAGTGCTCGTTCTGCCACGGCGGCAAACGTGTCGGAGCAACCCGGCGCAGACGTTCGCACTCGCATCCGCAGGCAGCGGGGCGCTGAGGTGCACAGGACGGCGCCCCCCCGACGCATATTGAGAAACTCGGAGTGCTCGTTCTGCCACGGCGACAAACGTGTCGCAGCAACTCGACGCAGACGTTCGCACTCGCAGCCGCGGGCAGCGGGGCGCAGAGGTGCACACGACGGCGCCGTTCGCCCCGCCGAGCGGCCCGCTCATCAGGCCTCGTCCCGCCGTGCGGGCCAGGTCTGCTGCCCCACCAGCTGGCGTGAATAGGAGGGGGCCCTGGGACACGCAAATAAATACACACAAATAAGAGGGCTCCCCATATTTTCCCATATTTTCGGGGTTCTTGCCTTCCCCCCCACTTCCCCTATTTTCCCATAGTTTCCTGGGAGTCGACGATGAACTGTGTCTGTGTGTTTCTGTCCCTCCTGAAAATAGGGAAACGAAGAATGGCATAAACATAACAACTCTGAGGTCCGCGCGGATTTCTCGGATCCGCGCCGGGGCCCCCTGGCGGCGCCTCTGTCGCTGGGGGGGTCCAGCGCGGATCCGAGAAATCCGCGCGGACCTCCGACTTGTCATGTTTATGTCATTCTTCGCTCCCCTAATAAAATCCGTCATCGGCGCATGCTCCGAAGCGTCCCTTGTGAACACTTGCCCACTCAGGACCTCCACCAATCCGGCAAAAGCAGCACCCTCAGCGGCCTCGGTGTTGGCAGCGCTTGCGGCCTCGAGCTTCGCCTCAAACATATCGCGAGCCGTCGCATGCAGGTCGGCAATTGTGTCGGGCTGCTGCTGCGACCACGTCCCGCTTGTTTACTGAGTTGGACTCAACTTGTGTCTCGTCGAGCTTCGGTTCAGCCGCCTTGCCGACATTGACCCCGAAACCATACGGCGATGCTACGGCCTCGACCAGCTTGCGGGCTTGGACTTTACCCCTTCCTTCAGCTTGTCCTAGAACGCTAAGGAAACGGTAATGAATGACGTGGCCTCCTCCGTACGATCTTCGAAAGCCTTCGTGATGTGACGTACGAGGTCTGCCCAGGGGTGGCCTACGTGCCTACGTAAATACGAATCTAACCGAACTTACCGAGCTTGGACGCCAACCCCGCCTGATCCAACTCCAGTAACTGTTGCTTCGCATCAGGGACGGACGGCGTGGCCTCCTCAAGCCTGTCCAGCGTTGAGCATACCTCCAACGCATCCGCATGAACCAGGGAGACGACGGACAAGCATTGCAAGGAGTCACGCGCCGCTGCTGCTACCAGGTTGCCCATGGCCTTCACCGATAGGCGACAGGACCAACTTTATCCCAGCGGGAGCCGCTTTGAAGACTGTCTGCGCAACGGGCAGCTCAAGGATCACCATGCCGAGCAAACGCGACGGGACTGTAGGCAGAACCTGGAGTGAGGATGAAATCGCAGCATGTCTCAACGCTCAATGGCTTTAGCCGTAATTGCTTGGGGAGATTGAGGAGGACTTGGAGGAGGAAGAGGAGGAGGAGAAAAGGGATACACCTGCCATGGGAGTTCTGGCGAAGGTGGAAGTGAAGGGAAGAGGAGGGCAGAAGGGACCAGGACATGGGGAAGGAGGGAGAAAATGGTAGAGGGAGAAGCAAGGACAAGAGGGACGACGACAACCACGACGAGGGGAACGAAGAGGACGAAGAGGAGAGCGAGGCTGGCCCATCGTAGTGCTGCCTGCCATCGCCTGACCATCGCCGCCGCCCAACGATGAGCGACGATTGGCGACGACGACGATAATGGACCTCCGACGTCGTCACGATGTTGTGGCAACGTGGATCCCCTTCACCCGACCCCTCTCACGGGACCGGCTTCTCATCCCGAGCCGTCGCCGACTCCCCCGAGTCTGCCAAGGCCACCTAGGGGGCCGAGAGTTGGCTCCAGCCCTGCCTGTTTTTTCCACGACGCGAGGTGGGGGATGGACGGCGACGGACGACGACAACATGACGACGGAGGACGGGGGACGGGCGACGGCGAACGACGAGGGCGGCGACGGACGACGTGCGGCGCCTTCGCCCTCCGAGGGCGGCTCATAGTCCGCGGCGGTCACGAGGGCGGCCCGGGCGTCGCCGTCGTTCATGGCCCGCGCGTCGCCGTCTATCATGGCCCGCGCGTCGCCGTCGCCCATGGCCCTCCGCGGGGGAGGGCGAGCGAGCGAGCCGGCGAGCGCCGACGCTGCTCCGCGCGCGCGCGCGCGGAGCGCCTCCTCCGGAGGGCGGCGGGGCCCTGGCCCCTCCGAGGTTGTCAGCCCACCTTGCTCTTGGTCCGTGGAGTCTTCTCCTGCAGCCGGCGCGCTTGGCTGTAGCCCCTTGGCAGAACTCTGGATCCCAGAGGTAAGCTTTGTGACTTCACTGGCGCGCCCAGATCACGGACTCCCCCCAGGTATCTCAAGAATGCTGGCGTTCTCGCCGTCGACGCTCCAAGACGGCCGAAGAGGCCCACGAGACCACCCCAAGACGGCCCAAAACGGGCCAAGAGGCGCCCAAGACGGCCCACGAAGGTCCCAAGACGACCCCAAAGGAGGCCCAAGAGAGGGAACACAAACCGAAAATCCGAGCCTTCCGCCCCAAGGCCCCCAAGAGGCCCCAAAGACGCCCCCAAGAGGCCCCAAGAGGCCCCCCCAAAAGAGGCCCCAGGAGGTCCCTAAAAAGCCCCAAGAGGCCCCCACGAGGCCTAAAAGAGCCCCAAGAGGCCCCCAACGGGCCCCCACGAGGCCTCCAAACTGCCTCCAAGAGACCCCCGAGAGGCCGCCCACGAGATCCCAACGAACATCCAACAGGCTTCATACCCACCACCCAGGCACGGTGGCGGGGTGCGCCGAAGGCCATCAGGTCCGCCGCCCCCTTGTGATTTATCACAAGGGTGCCTGGCGTGCTGGATCCTATCGGTTTGGGTTTTGGTTCTTTTTCAAAGGAAATCCCCCTGGGGCTCCGGCGCGTCCCGCAGGCCACACGGAAAGGCTCTCAAGGAGCTCAATTCCCCAATTTTTCGCTCAAAATGACCCAAGATGGCCTCCAAGATGGCCTCCAAGATGGCCACGTTGGCCCAAGATGGCCTCCAAGATAAGATGGTCCAAGATGGCCTCCAAGTCCGCCCAAGATGATCCAAGACGGCCTCCAGGACGGCCCCAGGGCCCCAGATAGTCCAAGATACCTCCAAGGTCGCCCGAGAGGCCTCCAAGACGGCCAAAGACGACCCACGAGGCCTCCAAGAGGTCCTCCAGGAGGGCCCGCGGAGGCCAAAATCACTGGTTGTCCTAAGGTTTTTGAAGGATTTGGGCATGTTTTTTTTCGGCATTCCGACGGATCAAGACGGCCCACGAGGCCCCCAAGATTCGCGCCCTGGCCCGTCACGCAGCCAGAGCTCGCCCTCAGGAACCAGCGCGCTGGGCCGGAAGGCACTATGGGCCAGGAAACCGACCCAGAAGGTCACCAGGGCCCCAAGAGCGCTGGTCGGGTACTGTGGCTGCATACCCGCTGAAAGCTTGATCCCCAGCAGCGGCGAGGACAGCTGCTGGGAGAATGCAATTTGAAAGGGGTCGGGAGGCCAGCAGCTTCGCCTTAGGCGAAACCAAGTTCCAGCTCTGCTGTACCGCAGCAACGATAGTCCCAGCAGTAGGAGGCGAGCCATCTCAAGCAGTTTTGGTCACACGCATGATGAAAGGTGGGCTCAGCCTGGGTAGGGGCAGGGAAGAAATCGCCAGGATGAGACATGATACCGTACGTGTACAGCACTCTGTCGTGCGCGCTGAGGTTATCCCAAGACGAGGGATGGAACTGAAAATCTCCGCCAAGTAGCTCTTGGCGAAGCTCACGACACTGCGCATGCTGACACTTCAGGTCTCACAAGGGGCAGAGCACGTCGGGGAGGACATACCCATGCTCCACAGCACGACACTTGGTCCAGGGGGCCTGACAAACCAGCCCACGGACACAACCCTTTTCCCACGGAGTAAACTTGCTGGACGCCATAGCCGCCAAGGGCACGTCCAAGCAGGCTCTCTTGCTGAGACCAAGGCTGTCCCCGTAAACTCGTTCGTGACAACGCATAACAGCAAAACGGAGGAGTCGTTTCAGGAGGGCAGGAGAGACCAAGGTCAACTGAACCTCAACCCCCATGTCGTCCACAAGGGTCGTCAAAGACGGCCTGCGCCACCCAAGACGCTCCACCGAAGGAGGAGGAGGAGGAGGAGGAGGAGGAGGAGGAGGAGGAGGAGGAGGAGGAGGAGGGAGAGGGAGGGAGGAGGAGGGAGGAGGAGGAGGAGGAGGAGGGGGCGGACGTCCCTGCATCCCCCCCCCGCAAGTTGGCCCTGCAAGGGGGGGGGGCGGGGCCGGCGTCGGGCCCGCGGCCCGCGCCTCGCGCTCGCGCCGCCTGGGGCGGCCGCGCTCCGGCCGCCGCGCCGGGCGAGCTGCAGGGGCGCCTGGCGCGGGGCGCGCCCTCCCCCCGCCCCCAGGAGGGAGGAGGAGGGAGGAGGAGGGAGGAGGAGGGAGGAGGGAGAGGGAGAGGGAGGGGGAGGAGGGAGGAGGATGAGGAGGAGGAGGAGGAGCAGGAGGAGGATGAGGAGGATGTGCAAGAGGAGGAGGAGGTGGAGGAGGTGGAGGAGGAGAAGACATGATAGTAACGCGGCATAGAGGCGCACAATGTGTCAAGTCCCTCTCAAGACCATGGCGCGAAGGAGCAAGAAGAGGAGGAGGCGGAAGGAGGAGGAGGAGGAGGAGGAGGAGAGGGTGAGAAGGGATGGAGAAGAAAGGAAGAGGAGGGGGGGCCCTCGATAATCGTGGTTCCAGGATATCATCCAGGCTCGAGGGCTCGAGGATATCAGGCACCCTCCTGCATCATCATCATCATCATCATCATCATCATCATCACCATCATCATCATCATCATCATCATCATCATCAGCAGCAGCAGCAGCAGCATCATCATCATCATCATCATCATCATCATCATCATCATCATCATCATCATCAGCATCACAGTCATCAGCATCATCATCACCATCAGCATCATCAGCACCATCATCAGCAGCATCATCAGCATCATCAGCATCATCGTCATCATCAGCAGCAGCATCATCAGACGCAGCATCAACATCATGACCATCAATACCATCGTCATCATCACCATCAGCATCATCAACATCATCATCACCATCATCATCAGTATTATCATCAGCATCACCATCATCGCCATCAGCACAATCATCGTCATTAGCAGCAGCGCCAGCAGCGGCAGCATCACCTTGATCAGCATCATTAGCAGCAACACAGTCATCATCATCACCAGTACCATCATCATCATCATCAACATCATCATCAGCAGCAGCATCAGGATCATCGTCATCGTCATTGTCATCGTCATCATCGTCATTACCATCATCATCGTCATCATCAGCAGCATTACAATCATCACGATAATGATAAGCATCATCAGCAGCATCATCGCCGTCATCAACCTTATCATCCTCATCGGCATCATCATCGCCTTCATCACCATCATCCGCATCATCAGCATCATCATCTTCACCATCATCATCAGCAGCATCAGCATCATCCTCATCCTCACCCTCATCACGGTCCTCATCAACAGCATGATCAGCATCAGCATCAAAACATCAGTATCGTCATCATCAGCCTCAGTTTCAGCATCATCAGCATCACCATCATTTTCATCGCCATCAGCACAATCATTGTCATCGGCATAAGCATCAGCATCATCAGCATCACCATCATCATCATCAGCATCATCAGCATCACCATCATCATCATCATCATCATCAGCAGCATGAGCATCATCAGCATCGTCATCATCATCATCAGCAACATCATCATCATCAGAAGCAGCATCAGCATCATCACCATCAATAGCATCGTCACCACCATCATCATCACCATCACCACTATCATCAACATCATCATCATGATCAACTTACCATCACCACCATCATCATCAGCATCAGCATCGCCATCATGGTCAACATCATCATCATCAGCAGCATCGTCGTCAGCATCATCATCCCCATCAGCATCATCATCATGATCGCCATTATCACCGTCATCCGCATTATCATCACCATCACCATCACCATCATCATCAGCAGCACCAGCATAATCCTCATCTTCATACTCGTCACGATCCTCATCAACAGCATGATCAGCATGATCATGACCATGGCTTCTTCTCCCCGTCCCCCCGCCCGTCCGTCCGCCGGCCCGGTCTGTCCTCCCCTGTCGCCCTCCTCCCCTCTCCCCCCTCTCGCTCCTCGGCTCCCCGCTTTCCTGCGCGCTTGTTGCCCGTGCCTGGCCCGCTATGTTCTTTGTCGGCCTGCCCCGCGGTCCGAACAAGAGTTGCGGCGCTGCCTGTTGAGTGCCGAATACCCTTGCATGCGGCGTGCTTTCCACAATCTTCAGTCGAATGTAGAGAGCGGTCCCTGAGAAATTGATTTCTTGGAGTCGCCACGCGACGAGTATAGTCGGCATCATCGTCAGCATCAGCTGCAGCGTCAGCATCATCACCATCACCACCATCAGCACTATCATCCGCAGCATCGGCATCAGCATCCTCAGCATCAGCATCACCAGTATCATTATTTTTCATGTCATTCCCTACCTAGGCTCTGCCTAGAAGGGTTCTTACTCTCTATGTTAAAGGGGCCGGGCAATGGGGCTCGCCCCGGGCGGTTCCCCCAGGATCCGCCCCGCGGTTCCCCCAGTTACGTCCCCTTAGCTTAGCGTTGTTTATCTCATCTTAGCTGGCTTATTTCATCTTAGCTTAGCTTAGCTTCATCTTAGCTCAGGTGTAGTTTAGCTTAGATTACCTTCAGCTTAGCTTCGCTGAGCTTTAACACAGCATAGCACAGCATAGCGTAGCATAGCATAGCGCAGCACAGCATATCATAGCATAGCCCAGCATAGCATAGCATAGCGCAGCATAGCATTGCATAGCATAGCATAGCATAGCTCAGCACAGCACGACATAGCAAAGCGCAGCATAACATAGCATAGCATAGCATAGCATAGCAGAGCATAGCAGCAAATCAAAGGCAAAGCAACAGCAGCGACAGCAAAGCAAAGCACAAGCAACGCAAAGCAAACCCAAATTAAAAGCAAAAGCAAAGCAAAGGAAAGGCAAAGCAAAAGCAATGTGCGACAGATGCCGAGCTAGCCTGTAGGCTCTGCCTAGAGGATTAGCTTAGCTTAGCTTAGCTTAGCATAGCGCAGCGCTGCATTAGCATGGCATAGCATAACATAACATAGCCAAGCATAGCATAGCAGAGCATAGCGCAGCATAGTATAACATAGCATAGCAAAGCAAAGCATAGCGTAGCATTAGCTTGGCGCAGCTTAGCATAGCATAGCATAGCTTAGCATAGCACAGCGCAGCATGCCATAGCATAGCTTAGCATAGCTTAGCATAGCATCGCATAGCGCAGCATAGCATAGCATAGCATAGCAAAACATAGCATAGCATAGCGCAGCATAGCTTAGCATAGCATAGCATAGCATAGCAACTGATGCTGCTTTCCTAGGGGCTCCAACTTCTAGGTAGGGCCGCACTGGGGTAATTATCATCGCCACCACCACAAACACCAACACCAACACCATCATCATCATCATCATCATCATCAGCAGCAGCAGCAGCAGCATCATCATCATCATCATCAGCATCATCATCATCATCATCATCATCAGTGTCAGCATTATCATCATTATCATCATCAGCCCTCCTCCTCCTCCACCTTCTCCTTCTCCTCCTCCTCCTCCTCCTCAACCTTCTCCTTCTCCTCCTCCTCCTCCTCCTCCTCCTCCTCCTCCTCCTCCTCCTCCCCTTCCCCCGCCCCCTCCCCCTCATCCTGTGAATTGAGCAGAAGCCTTTCTACCAGAACGATGGCAGCAAAGATACAGTGAATGTCACCAGCCGCCAGATGACGGCATGTAACCCTCGTACCAACGAGCGTCGGAACTCCCCAGGCACTGCAAGTCTTCATTCTAACACCCTCCCTGGGACTCACCTCACTAAGAGGCCACGTCCTGCCCGGTAGCTAGTCTGACATTCGAAACACTGCCTTCAACCTGGCAGCGGTGTAGATGAATGTGCCATGTTTTCGGGCTACTTCAGCCTAACCGTTACACCGCAGACTAGCGGAGGCTTCGCACGGACACTAGCGCTTACCGCATGGTGGAGGCATGCATTTCGACGTCACGGCGGGAAGGGTAGGAATGTCAGGTGTGACGTGAGCGCACCTAGCTTACCCCATCCCACCACCCTCTGCTCTCCTCTCCTGCCTCCTCCTAATCCTCATCCTCCTGCAGCTCCTCCTCGTCCTCCTCCTCCTCACTCTCGATATCCTCCTCCACCTCCTCCTCCTCCTCGTCCTCCTCGTCATCATCATCAGCAGCAGCATCATCATCACCATCACCACCACCACCATCATCATCATCACCACCACCACCACCACCATCACCACCACCACCACCACCACCACCATCATCATCATCATCATCATCATCATCATCATCATCAGCAGCAGCAACATCATCATCATGCTCCTCCTCCTCCTCCTCCCCCTCCTCCTCCTCCTCCTCCCTTCCTCCTCCGCGCTCCTCCCTGCTCTTCCCCTGGTCTCGGCCTCGCACCTCCTGCTGCCTCGTCCGATCCGCCCCAGACCCTCCCCCATGCGTACCTTCCCCCGGTCCCCGCATGACCTCAGCCTAAGTTGCGATCCTCTGCTCAGCACCCCGCCTTCTCCCTGCTTCCTGCTCCTCGTACTCACTTCCTCCTTCCCCACAAGGCAAAAAAGACGCCGATGGACCCCGACCACGACGACGACGCCGCCGACGACGCCGACGCCGCCCCCGCCACCGACGGCGACGCAGACGGACGCGACGCCAACGACGACGACGACGACGACGACGACGACGACGACGACGGCAACGGACGACGAAGACGACGACGGCAAAACGCAGAGATCACACGAAGGAAAAACAAGGCGACGACGGACGACGACGGACGACGACGACGACGACGACGACCACAGTGACGGACGACGACGGACGACGACGACGACGACGACGACGAAGAGCACAAGTAACACAATCAAAAAACCAAGGCGACGACTGACGACGACGACGACGACGACGACGACGACGACGACGACGGCGACGACAACTCAGGCGAGGACGACGCCGACGAAGAGCACAACGGACCCGATGAACGACGGCTTCGTCGACGACGGCGACGACGACGACGTTGACGACGATGGGCGACGGACGGACGACGTCGACACCGAAGGGCGACGGTAGGTGGCGGTAATCGGGCAATCGCATGCGAGCCCAGCCTAGGCGGCGGCGAGCCAGGAGTGGACGTGCGAGGGGGCGGGCCCTCTCGTCTCAGAAGGCTCGGCAGGCCTCGGGCCTCAGTTTTCTAAGC